CCGCCTGCTCTACCGCAGCCTCGTCTTCCTTTTCGTCCGACTCTTCCTCCTTCCTCCTCTTGCCTCCTAGCCCTCCGCACCCTCCTCGTCTTCATCTCTCCCTGCTCATCCCCGCCTTCCCTACTCATCGGTTCCCTCCTCCTCTTCCTCCTCCTCCTCCTCCTCCTCCTCCCTCCTTCTCGTCCTCCTCCTCCTCCTTCTCTCCTCCTCCTCCTCCTCCTCCTCCTCCTCCTCCTCCTCCTCCTCCTCCTCCTCCTCCTCCTCTTTCTCCTCCTCCTCCTCCGCCTCCTGTCTGTGTTTTATGCAATTGGCTTATGCCATTCCGCCGACCCCCCAGGTGGAGCCTCGTGGGCGGCTTTGGGTGGGCATCTGCAGGGCTTGTCGGGGCTTTGTGCGGGGCTTCCTGGTGGCCTCTTGGAGGCCCCGTTCGGCGCCTCGGGGGCCCCTCGGGATCTCACGGAGCCATCGACGCTCATCGCGGAACTGGCAAACACCGCAACAGGGGCCGCGGCCAGATCAGTCGCAGTGGATGATCTTGCAAAAACACCAGAGGCCAGTTAGCGAGAGTTGAGTCCCGATCGGGTGAACAGAGCCCGACAGGATGAGGCCTGGCCATTGCGTCTTGGCGACGTGCGGCTCTATCGAAAGGGCCGCGACAAAATTCGAACTCCGCAGAGGGAAGGGGAAAACAGACGATAGGAGGGAGGCGACGACGACGAGCAGGCAAGCACCCATCGGTGGCAAGCATCCGACCTCCTAATGCGCTTCTCCTTCTTCGAGGCAGGAATTTGTCCATAGCCACCGCCTTGGGGGTGGACCTTCGGGGACGTCGGCGGGCGGCGGATATGGATACATTCGGGCCCTGGGGAGGCCAAGTATGTCCATATCCACCGCCCGCTGGGGTCCCATGACGTTGATTCCACGGGCGGTGGATATGGATATAGATGTATACAAATATTGACAAGTATATATGTGCAACGTATATACTTGTCAATATGTGTGCCTATACGACCACCCTTCGGGTGATATGGAGGTTGTGGGGGGGGAGAGAGGGGGGAACCAACATCTGAGTCAATCTATCTCACTATCGATCTCACTCAACGGAACACCACGGGACACCACGGGACACTTGTCGATCTCACTATCGATCTCACTTAATGGGACATCACGGGACACCACGGGACACCGCGGAACACCTCTCGATCTCACTACCGGTCTCACGATCGATCTCACAATCAATCTCACTCAACGGGACACCATAGGACACCACGGGACACCTCGGGACACCACATCGATCTCACGATCGATCTCACTATTGATTTCATTCAACGGGACACCACGGGACACCACGGAACACTTGTCAATCTCGGTATCGATCTCACTATCGATCTCACTTTTTGGGACACCACGGGACACCACGGGACACGTCGGGCGCCACATCGATCTCACTATCGATCTCACTATCGATCTCACTCAACGGGACACCACGGGACACCACGGGACACTTGTCGGTCTCACTATCGATCTCACCATCGATCTCACTTTTTGGGACACCACGGGACACCTCGGGGCACCACATCGATCTCACTATCGATCTCACTCAACGGGACACCACGGGACACCACGGGACACCGGCGGGACACCGCGCGGCACCGGCCGCCGGAGGAGGAACATTTGGTCCGGCCGCGGCCCAGCCACAGGAGGATTTCGGGACACCAGCGGGACACCGGCCGGACACCGCGCGGCACCGGCCGCCGGAGGAGTAACATTCGGTCCGGCCGCGGCCCAGCCACAGGAGGATTTCCTCTCGCCCGCCCACGCAGCTTCGCCTCGCCCGGACGGCACGCACGGCACGCACGGCACGAACCCGAAACCGAAATCGATTTCCCGGTGGGGGAGGTCTGCGCTTCACGTCGGACTCACCCCCCAACCTCCGATGTATACATTCATATGCATATGTATCTATATCTATATATATATATATATATTATGTATGATATATATATATATATATATATCCCCACCTGGCACTTGTGGCGCTCGCCCCCGAGATTCTGCCAGTCCCACTCTGGGGCACATGCCGCGGCACGGCGCGAAACCGACCAATGCACTGGGCGGACGTCCGAGCGATGGCGAGTTCGGGGCCCCAGACGGTGTGGTGACCATACCGCGTGAGTCAGTGGGGATTCGGGGTCACCACGCGGTTCTGGGACTTGTCCCAGCGAGGCTGGCGAACGTGTGGAGAAGGCGGCGCGCAAGTGGACAGCGCGCGAAGTGGGCCACGGTACCCATCGTGCCCGTCGCACCCGAGCAAGCAGGCCCCGCCCCCTTGAAACCGGCAGTGCGTGCACCACCCGTCGCACAGCAGGCGCACGCAGGCGGCTTGGGCACGCGGTGTGCGGCATCGGGCAAGTAGCTGTAACGGGCTACAGCGCGAGCGAGCTGGCAGAATTGTTTGGGTGGGCGGCTCCCGTGCTGGAACGCAGGGAATTCGCATGTTCCATGCCGATTGTCGGAGCGGGGCCGTTCATGTGCATTCTTCTGCCCGCTCCTGCAGGACACTCCCTGTTGAGGGAGCCGCACCAGTCGCGCGCAGCGGGTGCCATAGGCCTTACTCGTTTCGGCCTGGTGCTCACCACTCGTTCGGCAACTCGTGCATGGTCACGCGCTTCGCGCGAACGCTTATGCCTGATGCCCCTGTGTGCCGCCAGGGTTGCCATAGTTCGTCAGGGCGTTTCGCTGGCGCTGCTGGGTCCGCGATCTCAGTGTTTGCAGTGTCCTCCCTCTCCCCTCCTCTGTCTCGATTGCGCCCGCGAAGGATGTTGTGCGGGCGCCGTTTGCACGAGCTGGCCCACGCACGCGCGAGCTGTTGTCTCTGTGTGCCGTTCCTCTCGTCCTTCCACCTCCTCTCCGCCTTCTTCGGAGTTTTGGTGTCAGTTTGTTGGTCGATCTGCCTGGTCTCAGCTGCGACCGCTCAGATTGCCACTGAGTTCATCCCATCGCGATGCGACCTTCTGACTCGGCTTGCAGTGCACGTGTCTCGTTGTGCGCGCTTGTCCGTATATCGCGCGTAGCCCCCCTGAGGGGCAGCGGATGCATTGATCTGCTCCTCCTGGTTGTTTTCATGGAGCAATCCGCTCGGTTCGTAGACTTGAGTCGCTCTCCAAGGATATCTCGGGCGACTGGCGTCTCCGAGATCCCAAAACCGTGCGGTGACGGACCCCGCGGTGAGGTCTGGCCCGATAGCCCGCACCGCCGAGGACCGTGTGGAATTTGCTATCGGGGGCCTATCGCTGATCCATCGGCGATGCATCACCGATTCAGGCTCGATATTTGCCCTTCTGCGCTGGTCCTCCTCCCTTATGTTGCCCCGCAGAGATGCTTTCCACCTTTTCAATATATTGTTCAGGATGTACTCCCGGGAGTCGGCAAACTGGGGCCACGAGTTATTGCAGCAACAGACAACATCAGTCGCAGCTGCACGTGAAGAACTACACAACATTGCATCCACGCGCAACTATTGGGTCAAGACCGCAAACTGACGCATCCAGGCCCCAACTGTTGCAAATCCGGTTGCACCTCTCCCCGCGTGCCCATCTGCGTCAGACCCGCGATTCAGGCTTGCAGATCAGAGTGAGGGGGCCGAACGCTCAGTCTTTGTTCCAGGGTACGTGGCTGAAGTGGGGATCCGCGGGGAGGATTATGCTTGTTGTTGTTGTTATTGTCGTCGTCCCCTCCCCGACCCGCCCGCGACCCACCCGCGACCCACCCCGCGACCCACCCCCACGACCCACCCCGCGACCCACCCCGCGACCCAACCCGCGACCACCCCGCAACCCACACCGCGACCCACCCCGTGACCCGCCCGTGACCCACCCGCGACCCACCCCGCGACCCACCCGCCATCCATGCGCGACCCACCCCACGACCCACCCAGCGACCCACCCCGCGACCCACACCGCGACCCACCCCACGACCCACCCCACGACCCACCTCGCGACCCACCCCGCGACCCACCCCGCGACCCACCCCGCGACCCACCCGCGACCCACCGCGACCCACCCGCGACCCACTCCGCGACCCACCCCGCGACCCACCCGCGACCCACCCGCGACCCACCCCGCGACCCACCCACATTGCTTTAACGAAAAAATCGGCGCCTGCGGCGGGCTCACTGCATGATTTGTAAAAGTTAGGCGCCTGCGGCGGGCTTCTTCAGAGCCTCGCAGACTGACGACGTCCTCGCCGCCCCCTCACTCTTGTCCGCAACTGCGGGGTGCTACGTATTCTCTTTGCGATGCAGCTCCTGGGCGTCGAAGAAGAAACAACTGCTAAGCACGAACTTTCGGGGCTCCACGCGCACGTGCTCGAGCGGCGCTGGGCAACCGTGGCGGCGCCTCTGGCTCCCCTCCCTGGCGTGCTCCGCGCGCCAGGGATGGGAGCTGGAGCCCAGCGCCGATCCAGAAAATCCGCGCGGAGTTCCGAAAGCATATGTTGATGCTTTCTTGGCTTCTCTCGATGGTTTGTTTGGGATGCAGCTCTCGGGAGGTCGAATTCTATGTCCGCGTTCGGAAACCAGCCTGCTCCAGCACAGTCCCGTTCATTTCAGCTCGGTCCCGCCGAATTTAATTTCATCCGGCTCAACCCTGGATCTGATCTGGGTCAATCAGGATTGTTGACCCAGTAAGGGGGCTCATTAGCCCTTAATCGTTCTCACAGTCGGACCGGGGTCGGTGCGGGGAGGGTACCCTGGCGTTTTTCATGTTTGTTGGATGTTCTTGTGCATCCTGGGGGAAGGTACCCTTGGATGTTCTGCGTGTTTGGGGCGGCGGAGGGTCTCGTGTTGTTGAGGGATGTTCTTTTGGCCTTGGTTCGATTACACGTATGCAGACCTCCCATGAATTGCCTCCTATCTCCTCCCGCCCTGCCCGCCCTCGCCTCACCATCCTCTACATCCTCCCCCTCCTCTTCACTGGTACCTTCCATCGCGCTGATGGCTCAGGGCCTGGGGACTCGTCTGAGCTCGCCTTAAGCGGACATGCCTCATCGACGCCCACATGGTCGGCATCTTCGCCGAGGCCACCCAAGGAACTGTATGCAGTATGAGGGCGGGATTGGCCGCTGGACTCTGAGGTTCCAAACCGCAGGTCTTGAGACGGGCTTCATGCTTTCAAGGAGGCAGCGGCTGACCGAATGGACGTCCGCCACGATGGCCTGGCTGCTCATCCTGTGCATTGGCATTTCTCTAGCGCACCGAATCTGGTATTTTGACCAGGCCGTCACAGATGCGGCGATCAAGTTGAGACAATGGCAGGTGAGCGGCGCAGGAAAACGGGGTCGTCTTCACCGACATTGGGGCGCAAGCTGCCCGCGCAAGGTCGCGCATAAGCGCGCTCGCTTCCAATGTGGCGAGCCGCGCTGGCGGCCCGCGCAAGCCGCGGCGTGAGGTTCGAAGACCGTAGGACCCGTTTTTGCCGTCGCTCAGGCGATTATTTTCTATAGCGGCACGGGGTTGTTGGCAGTGATGTTGATCGCGGCAAAGGTGGTAGACCGCGGTCACGTGTCACCCCGAGCGGCAGTGTTGTACATGGAGTTCACCACGCCCCTTGCGAGTATTGTTTGCATGTTGATGACGATCGGTTGCAGCCGCTACTATCTCACGAGAATGTTGGGATACGACGATCCCGCCGCAGCGTTGGGTTTCGATCTTGGGCACATCGACGGCCTGAACCTGATCTCCATCAACCTGTGTGCGTCGTTCGCGCACCTGTCTCCCGTCCGCTGGGTGTTCCTGCTCCCGCTGGAGATTGCGCTGGTGCTGGTGTTCGAGCTGCCGGTGCTCGTGTGGGGCAGCCCTTCCCCGCAGGCGACCCCGCTCTTCCTGCTCTGTGCGGTGTGGCTGGCCCTCCTGGCCGCCGCCGGGAAGCGGCACAGCGAGCTGCAGGACCGGTTGTCGGGAGACTCTTCATGGGGGGGGATCCCATGGGGGGATAGGATCCCAGGGGGGGGATCCCATAGGATCCCCTGGGGATCCCATGGGGGGGCAGGAGGGGATCCCATGGGGGGGATCCCCTCCTGCCCCCCCGTGGGATCCCCCCCCCCCCATGGAGAGTCTCCCGAGGTTGCTCTTCCGGAGCCTGCTGTCCGAGAAGACGCGGAGGTTCGAGGCCGAGCACGAGCTCGCCAGGCGGCAGGACGGGCGGCGCCCCACGAGGGGGCGGCGCCAGGGGGGCAGGCGTTGGGCTGTTGTCGCTCTGCTCGTCTGGGTCGGGTCGGCCAACTAAGTAGTCAAAAACAATTGTCTGGGACGATGTTTTGATCAGTATGTGACCATGTTTTGACTATTTCTTAAGTTTCGCTCAAGATCCGCCTGTAGGTGGAGATGCCCGGCCTAAAACTAGCTCCATCGTGCACCCGAAGTCCTTCATCGAACCGAAGAGCTCTACGAGGTACGCGAGCGATGCGCGCAGGAAGGCAGCTGCCTTCTTCGAGGGTGTATAGCTGCCCCCCGCCCGCAGAAAGGGGCCCCGGCTCCCGCAGTTTGGGCGCTCCTGAGCCCCCCTGGAAATCCTTGTCGTTCCGTTCACCTCGTGCTGCGATTTTCCAGCGCCTCGGCGCCCCCTCCGCTGCACCTCCATGGCGCCACGCCAGCGGAGCCAGTGCTAGTGCCAGTGCCAGTAAGCGCCCCTGGGGATCCACGCGCGACGTTTCCAGAGGCTTCGGGAGCGCTGTCTGGAATCCACACTTCCAAGACGGCGAAGGGTGGTAGCAAGGCCCGCCCTGGAGCCATGCTGGGGGCTTTGGGGCAGCTTTCTGGGATGCCACTCCTGGGTGGTTTCGAACTATGCATGCAGAATCGTTGCTGGCATGTCCTTGGCTTAATCTGACTAAATCTCGGTCCCGCTTGACCCAGCGTCATACCGATCAATCTGGCTCAGTCCCGGGCTTACTCCGGGTCGGTATTGCCTGGCTCATGAGACCCCGTGTCCGGTGAGCCCCGAGAGGCATTCCTCGAATAGCGCTCAAAATCTTGATTGCGGAAATGCCAGGCCTTTCGGGCCAGGCCAGTCGGTTCCGCGGCGGCGCCTGGGGGGTCGGTCCGGTTTTCGCACAGGGCTGGTCGGTTGTCCAGCTGGCCTTGGACCGAGCAGGGGCTTGTATAAATGCCGTCCTGGACCCATGTTGGGGGCCTTTTCAGGGCCGCTTCGCAGACCACGCCCCTCGCGCTACCCTGAGATCCGACGTTGCGGCAAATGCAGCAGCGGATTGAAGCACATCCAGAGCCTCCGACCCCATCTTCCTGCGCCATTTTCGAGGCGGGTCGATCTGTCCCGGGCGCAAACGCCCGGCTCGAAAAATCGGCGCGCTGGGATCTCAGGGGGTACCCTTCTGCGCGCGTCGCCAGCGGAGCCGACCGCCGCCGCGCATGGCTCGGACACCCACGGGCGGCGATCATGTCCGTATCCTCGCGACTTGGATTCGGGGGCGCGATCCCGCGGATATGCGTTCGCTGTGATACGTTCCGCGCGGGGCATGCGCAGCAACAAGAGCGCCCCGCATCCGCGAGGTCGCGGCCCAGGGGCCCGGCCCGCGGGGCCGACGACACGAATATGTGCTTCGCCCGCTAAGTTGGCGGAGCCCACTGAGCCAGGATATTCACACACACACACACACACACACACACGCCTCCTAAGCCACTTAAGCAACTCGTAGCCCACCTATGAGCCAGGCTGGGCCGGATGTGGCCCACCTTGGCATTCGCCTTTGAACCCCCAATCCACCTGTGGCGGCGCGGCGATCCCAGCGCGGCAGTCCCCGCTTGTGAGCCCCCAGTCCACTTGCAGCAACCCCCGCGGCGATCCCGGTTGTTCGCGCCGCCTCAGGAGCCGACCGCCGCCACAGATGTGTCGGGCACCTCCGCGACGGGCTCCCGCCCGGAGACGACGGCCACGGCGCGAGCGTTCGACGTGGAGTGCGGTGGCGGCCTGGCGAGGATCCGCGACATCGGCATCCGAGAGCAGTGGCTGATCGAAGACACAGAGATCAGGACCTTCCCTGTGAGAAAAATCCTGGAGGCCTCGCGCGGCGCGCAAGAGTAGCACTACCTGGTCGGACCGGACGTAGGTCGGTTCTCAAGTTCCCGCGCGAGGCCTCCAGGGTGTTCTTCGTGACCTTCCACCTGCCGCCCCCAGACACATCACCCCTCACGCAGAAGAACCACGGGAGGCCTCTCGAAGCTTTCGGCCACTGGGGTCTCCCCCCTTCGGAAGCCGGGCAAGGGCTGCTAAGTCCGTGGCTGCTAACATCGACCTCCGGGAAGTTGTCTTCGTCCTTCCGGTGAGAAGCCCGTTGACTGTTTCGCGTGCCGCGCCTCATTCCGGGAAGTTGCTCTTTCCTTCCGGGAGGGCCGTTTTAGCAGCCACGGTTGTAGCCGCCCTCGCCCAGCTTCCCACCCCCTGGCCCCGGGACCTCAGGAGGGGAAAAAACACACAGACACAATTCATCGTCCACTCCCAGAAAACATGGGAGAATATGGGGAGTGGGGGGGAAGACAGAAGCCCAGAAGATATGGGAAAATATGGGGAATATTTTTATGTGTGTGTATTTATTTGTGGATTTGTGGGCCCCTTCAGGACCGCCCCAAAAAAAACGGCACAGGGGTGAAACCCCCCGCTCTCGCGGAGAAGGGTCGGGACGCGGGGGGGCAGCGAGACTGCCCCTCTCTCCTGCCAGGGGGGGAGAGGGCACACAGGCACAAGGAATCCTCGATTCCCCTCCTCCTCCTCCTCCTCCTCCTCCTCCTCTCCTCCTCCTCCTCCTCCTCCTCCTCCTCCTCCTCCTCCTCCTCCTCCTCCTCCTCCTCCTCCTCCTCCTCCTCTTCCTCCTCCCAGAAAAGATGGGAGAATATGGGGAATGGGGGGAAGACAGAGACCCAGAAGATCTGGGGAAGTATGGGGAACAGTTCTATCTGTGTGCATTTCTTTGTGTGTCCTGGGGCCCCCTTCTCCTGCTGCCCCTGCTCCCCCCCCCTCCACCGAGGGCGCTGCCAGACCGAGTTCTCGGCAGAGGCGGCTTTGGCGTCGTGTTCGAGGCGCTCTACCACGACACGCCCGTGGCCCTGAAGGCGCCCAGGAGCGACCTCGAGGCGAGTCTGGTCCAGCAGATGCTCCCCGCGCTCTGCAACGAGCTGCGGATCATGCGCCGGCTCCGGCACCCCAACATCGTGTCCCTCTACGGCGCCATCATGGACGACAGGTTCGAGCGACTCCGCCTCGTGCTGGAGCTCGTCGACGGCGCTCGAAGAAAAGTTGACTGCGCAGACATGAACTCTCGGAGGCCCGTGCGGGTTTGCAGGATCGGCGCTGGGGACCCCCTGGCGGCGCCGGAGGGCCGCTGGCGCGCTCCGCGCGGCAGGGCGGATGGGTCCCGTGTGTCGATCCGAGGAAGTCCGCGCGGACCTCTGGAAGTTTTCTGTCACCGCGCTCTTCGGTGTCCCTCCAGGCGTGTCGCTGCGGCACTCCATCCAGCCGCCGAGCGCCGAGGGCCGCGATGGCGAGGGGCGGGGGCCGAGGCTCCAGCTCCGCGAGCGGACGCGAGTCGTGTTCGACATCCTGGGCGCGCTGCGCTACCTACACTCGCGGACCCCAGCAATCGTCCACGGCGACCTGAAGGACGGAGCAGCAGAACGAGAGCAGGCGTCGAGCTCGGGGCGCCCGCGCGGACTCCTCGGCCAGGCGTGGGACCTTTTTCCCCTCCGCACACCACCTCCCCCAGCGCGCGGAGCCCGCCCCGGGGTCGGGCGTCGCGCACTGGGGCGGCGACAGATGGGGGGGGTGAAGGAAGGCGCACCGTTTGTGCCCCCTGCAGCGCCGGCCAGGGAAATCCGGGCGATCCTCCGAGAGCTGATGCGTATGCCTTATGCCGATTGCCAGTGAACCTCAGGACTCCAACATATTCGTGCAGCAGGTGTGCGTCCATGGCGACACCGTGACGCACGCGAAGCTGCTGGACTTCGGCTTGGCGCGCCTGCTCACTCGCTCGGCGGTGCCTCTGGGGGGCACCACGCGGTGGAGGGCCCCAGAGCTGTTTGTGCAGGACATCCGGCCAGACCCAGCAGCGGACGTGTACTCGTTCGGCCTGCTCATGTTCTTCATCTCGACCGGGGCGACGCCCTTCGAGGGCGTCGCCTCCAACGAGCTGGCCCGAAGAAGACATCCCGAAGAGCAAACAACTGGAGGCAGTTTTCTGCTCGTGCGCGATAGCGGGCGTGACCCTGGGAGGGAGAGGGGGGAGGGGGTGGAAGCCCGTAACGTCACGATTCGCGCCAGCGCCGTTTGGGAAATGCTTCAGATGTGCCAATTCCCACACGGCACCGGCGCGAATCGTGACCTGACCAGGGAGGGAGGGAGAGCGGGGCAGGTCACGGGCGTTATCGCGAGTAATGCCGGATTGGGCTCCTGCCAAAAAACATAGATTTGGGCAGGTCCACGCGTGTTTCCTCGATCTGCGTTGGGCCCCCTAGCGACGCCTCCGGCGCCACCTGTGGCGCGCGGAGGGGTTCCAGCGCCGAGAAATCCGCGCGGACCTCCAAAAGTCAATGTTCATGCAGTTTTTTGTCCTTCTACCATCGGGAGCGGCCGCTCTTTCTATCCTGGCCTGATGGCCCCAGCGACTTGCATAGCATGCAGTGCTGGTGCATCGCGTCGGTGGAGCGGTGCACGCAGGTGTGGCCAGAGCAGCGGCCGACCGTTCAGGCTGTGCGTCATGAGCTCGATCGAAGTCTCGACATCCTGCGCCGGGCCTCAGCTCGAGGAAGGAAAGACTGCACAAACATAGCTGTCGGAGCTGCGCGCGGATTCGTTGGATCTGGGCTGGGGCACCCCTGGCGGTGCCTCGGGCGCCGCCCTTGGCGCGCTCCGCGCGCCAGGGAGGGTGGCCCCTGCACCAACCCCAAGAATTCCGCGCGGACCTCCGAAGGTTTATGCTTATGTATATATGCCGTTGTTCCTTCCTCTGCCAGCTGGCGGCGCGAAGGGCGACGGATCCCGGCAGGCGTACCCCTCCTTCCTGGATCTCAGCCTCTCCACGGAGCAGGAGCGCTCGCTCGGCATGCCACCGCAGCCGTCCGAGCTGGCCGTCGTCTTCGACGGCGTCACCTTCGAGGTTCTCAAGGCCTCCCCCGCCTTCGCCTCCCGCTTCGGGGCGTACCCGCCCGGGTCGGCCGTCCGCGAGTGGCTCTCTCCGGAGGACCTGGACGAGTTCTGCAGCCGGGCCAACGCTTTCTACAACTCGGGCGCGTCCTTCTGCACCCTGGACTGGGAGCCGCGGGGCCTCTCGCTGCCACACGCCCTGGACACGGTGGTGCCTCACTGTGTCTCGGTCGTCAGGGACGGCCTGACTTGAGCCCTTAGGATCGGTGCAACTCCTGGGAGGTTGAACGAAGCATCGGCGTTCGTATACCCGTGGTCGACAGCCTGCATAATCCCGGTTCCGTTTCATCTCGGCTCATCCGCTGGCTTAATCCTATGCACAACGTGACTTCATCTGGCTTCACTTATGGCTCCTGAATCGATCTTAGTAATCGCCTTGCATCGCAGGTGATTTCTCGCCTCAATCCCATACTTTTCTCCGACAATTATCTGTTCAATATTCTCTAAACGGCCTGGCTTAAGCCAGGCCGTTTAGATAATATTGAACACTCAGGGATACGACAACCCCAGGAGGCTGTCTGGACGCACGCATATCGAGGATGGACGTCCCCCAACGTCTATCCCTGAGTTGGGCTCAACATGTTTGGTCCATTCGAATCCCCCGCGAAGGCGGGGATTTGGGTCGACGCAACTCCCCGTAACCTAACCTTTCTTACGGAGACCCCAGGAAACGCTTCCTAAGATCCCTGGCAAAGCGACCCGTCTGTGACGACGTCTTCGCGTCGCTCCAAAACGTGGGCATGCGCTGGCTCGGCCCTCGAAACTGCAGGCCCGTGTTTTTTTTACGTTTTCAAAAAAAAAAACGTGTTCTGGATCATGAAAAGGGGGGGGGGGGGCGGGGGGGGCGGAACTGCTCCCCGGAACAATGACTCCAAAACTGCTCCAGGACAGGAACCGGAACCAGAACCGTGGGACGGAGGGCGCCAGGGACGGAATGGGCAGAAAGCCGGTGCCAGAGATGGATGGCACGAGAAGACGCAGCGGCATCGGCGCCAGAGGCTGCCTCGTCGCTCCCCGGGACCCACGGGGGGGCAGGCGAGCCAGAGGGAGCCCTCGGTGGTCGAGGGGCGCTCGTCGCGGAAAAGGGGCTCGCAGCAGGCCGGGGGGTCGGCCGGGCCGCGCGCCCAGGTCTCGCTCGCGGTGGACTGCAGGGGCGACGAGGAGAGGGTGGTGGCCTGCATCGTGCTGGCCGCGAGCCAAGACCGCGGCGAGGGGCGCGCCGACGGCGCTCCGGAGCCCCATGCGAGGAGCAAAGACCGGCGCGGGGCACTCCTCGTCTCGAGGGCGCGGGAAGCGCCCCGGCCCTGGTCTGCGAGGCGCGGTGCGCGGAGCCTCCTGTGGGCTGACGGGGCAAGCCTTGCGTATCGCGCGTGCCGTCCCTGGCGTCCTGGCGGCTCTCTGGCCTGTGGGAGCTCCCCGGAGGCTTATTGACCACGCACTCGTAGCCCAGAGCAGGGGCGTTGTTTCATTCCTCGAGTTTCGGAGCTCCGCGCGGGCTGCTTGGATCGGCGCTGGGCCCCCTGGGCGGCGCCGCCCACGGGGAAGCCCGGCGCAGATCCGGGAACCCCGCGCGGAGATCCCAAAGAGCATGTGTGCCCTGAGATCCGACGATGCAAAGCAGACATAAGTATATCACGACCGGAGCCCTGCACTCCACCCTTCCGCGCCGCTCTTCGAGGCGCATCGACCGGTGAGGGCCCCGGGGCCCAAGAGTGGGCGAAGACGCCCAGCTCAAAAAGTTGAGACGCGGGCGGGCCCGGCGCCGCGCCGCCGTCGTCGTCGCCTGCGTCGTCGTCGTCCTCGTCCTCGTCCTCGTCCGTCGTCGTCGTCGTCGTCGTCCGTCGTCGTCGTCGTCGTCGTCGTCGCCGTCGTCGCTGGCGCCGTCGTCGTCGTCGTCGTCGTCGTCGCCGTATTCTCGGGGTACGCCGGTTTTTCTTCTTCGACCATCGGCCCCTCTGCGCATCATCGGGGCCGCGCCCCGACGGCTGGCCAGACCCTGGCCCGGCCTCTGCGCCCCTGGCCGTGTGCGGTCAAGGCGCCGCCCCTCCGGTGGCGAGCCCCTCCTCGGAGCCGTCGGCGCTGAAGGCGAGGTGCGCTCTCTGATTGGCCGCCAGGGGCCTGGGACTTTTTTCCCACGGCGCCAACCTGGTCCTCCTAGATGAGGCGCTTCGAAGATCACCACCCACCAAACCACCCCAACCCAACCCGAAGGTCCAAATGTATCCTCGATTTCCAGTGGTGGGGGGGTCGGGGAAGGTTGGAAAGACACATGGAACCCGTACCCCCCCCAACCCGAAATTCGAGTCAAATTCGGGTTTTCGGGTTCGGTTGGGGTGGTCTGGTAAGTAGTCAGAAGAGGGCCTTGCCTTCGGGGACAGAAGAAGCTGCCATCTCTTCCGCGGCGGAAGGTCGGCGGAAGGCGGCGAAGGTCAAACGGCGGCGGCTCCGCCAGCGGAAGCTCGGCGGCAGCCGGCGGAAGCAAAGTCGACCTCCCAAGATCGGGCCGGGCGAAAGGGGGGGATAGGGAAAGGGGGGGTTACGAAATTTGCTGCATGCAGCTGGTTTCGGCCTCACCGAAGGGCCAATTCCTCGATACATGGCCGCGGCGCCGGGAGGCGCCGGCGCCGGAGAAAATCAGCTACGTGAGCTGATTCTCAAACCCCCTTTGCTATCCCCCCCTTTCGCCCGACCCGACAAGAGATAACAAGATTTTTGGGTTCAGGGTTTCCGAACCCGCCAGATGGGGTCCGAGTAGATGGGGTCGAAGAATCGCGCCGCATCGCCGAGACATCGGCGATGCGCCTCGACGTGGATCCCGATGTTCTCCACGCCGACGTCGCCAAACTATATGCCTCGCCGATGCCTCGGCGATGCGGCGCGATCTCCCGACCCCACCTACTCCAACCCCATCTGGGCATCTGGGAGGCCTCCAATGTCGGGCGTGACCTGGGAGGAGACGGGGAGGGGTGCCTGTCACGTCACGATACGGCGCTGGCGCGAGTCGAGACGTGACTGGGGGGGGAGGGGGGGGGCAGGACCAGTCACGGGCGCTTTCGCGCAGACTTATTGTATATGAACCTGCATGTGTATACATATACATCTACATCTACATCTACATCAGTTTTTGTTGCGCGCCAGTCCAGAACGTGCTCCGCATGCGCCCGTAGCCAAATTTTTCTGCCCAGTTGGCTTGTCCTAAGGGTCGCCGCAGGAGCAGACGAATATTAGAGGAATGGGAATGGCGATGGGAATGTTTAGCTCGTGTGGCCGAACCAGATCGAGCAACATCGGCACCGCTGACTAGATCGACCACCGCGACATATACATATACACATATATACATACATACCGACATACATACAGACATACATACATACATGCATGCATGCATGCATGCATGCATGCATGCATGCATACATACATACATACATACATACATACATACATACACACATGCATGCATGCATACATACATACATGTATACACGCATCCATACTTACATACGTACATACATACATACATACATACATACATACATGCATACATGCATATATCTATACATACATACATACCTACATACATGCATGCATACATACATACATGCATGCATGCATGCATGCATACACACATACATACAATCATATATGATTACAGACGTACATATATACATGCATGCATGCATACATACAAACAAATATACATATATATATGCGTACATCCATACATACATACATATATGCATGCAAACATACATACACACAGACATACATACACTCATGCGTACATACATACATACATACATACATACATACATACATACATACATACATACATACATACATACATACATACGTACGTACGTACGTACATACATACATACATACACACATGCATACATGCATGCATGCATGCATGCATATACATATATTTTTATACGGGTACATATATGTGTGTGTGTGTTTGTGTGTTTGTGCTTATTATATATATATATATATATAGACAGGTATACTTATACATATGTGATGTGTAAGATCCAAACCCCAGGGCCCTGGGCCGGCCCCCGCTAGCACATTCTTGTCCCCCCTGTGCGGTTCTCCTCTAGGCCCCCGAGGCTCCCAGACCGCCCGAGAGCGCTCCAAGAGCGCCCAGGATAGCCTACAGACCGCCAAGGAGGCTCCCAGGACGCCCCGACACAGGCCCAAGAGCGCTCCGAGACGCCCCAAGGTGGCTTCGAGAAGACCCAGGAGGCCTCCCAAGAGGGCCCCAAGAGGCCAAAATCGCACCATTTCTTTCGGAGAACGTATATCTTTATTATATTTGCTTTTTCCGATCTTAACGGGGTCCAAGACTGCCCAGGAGGCGCCGGAGGGGCCCCAAAGACGGCTCCAGAGGGCCCCCAGACAGCCCAAGAGGGCCCCAAGACGGCCCAAGGAACGCCTACTCAGCGCAAGAGAGCCCCAAGATGGCCCCAATTGAACCCCAAAAAGGCCCCAAGAGAGGGTCGTGTCCTCCTCTCGCTCTCTTCCCCTCTCCCTCCCTCTCTTCCCTCTCTTTCTATATATATATATATAAAGAGAGAGAGAGAGAGAGAGAGAGATGTGTGTGTGTATGTAAGTGCTGTACGCGCATCTGTGCATACACATGTATGAATGGTACATGC